TTGTCTGATTAATTTCTTTCTATTTTTAGTAGAGACGGGGTCTCACTCTTGCTCAGGCTGGTTTTGAACTCCTGAGCTCAAACAATCTTCCCGCCTCGGCCTGCCAGAGAGCTAGGATTACAGGCGTGAGCCACCGCGCCCGGCCAAAGCCAGTGGTTTTTAAACTTACAATATGACTTGTTCAGATCCAGAGCCTGTCATCTGAGTGAGATGTCATGTCCATCTTCTCTGTTTCTATGGTATCCTGGGACCGTTAGCATCACACCACCAAGTAACTATATAAATACTTGGCCATAACCTGGGACTAGTTTCTTCTATACAGATCTACATGGGAAGACAACATGGCAGTATATTTTACTTATAAAATCTCTTGGTCCTAATAGATCATCCATTACTTTGGTGCTTAATAAGTATGACCAATTCCATCTTACTGATAGGGAAAAAGAAAAAGCAAGATCAAAGCGTTGGCAAGGCCAAGGCCTCTTCTGAGGCCTCTTTCTTTAGTCTTCTCTCTGTGTCTTCATATGGTCTTCTATCTGTTTGTGTCTATGCCCTTATCTCCTCTTGTAAGGACACCAGTCATACTAGATTATGGCCCACCCTAATGACCTCATTTTAACTTATTTCTTTAAAGACCCTATCTCCAACTATAGTCACATTCTGAAGTATAGAGGATTAGGACCTCAATATATGAATTTTGGGGGAACACTATTCAGCCTATGTCTTCTGCTAGGAGCTCTTTTCCTTCAGAGAGAGAGAGAGTGCTGCTAGGATCACTGAAGTTTGGTCCATTCCACACCCCTTCCAGGTGAGCCTGCCCACGGCAGAGATTGATTGCAGCTTGGGAGAATACATTGACATGATCTGCGGTAAGCTCCTCCTTCCTTCCTTATGCCCGATAGATCCACTGGATAGATCCACTCCAGGCTTTTGAAAAGCTTGTTTACTCTGGGAAGATAGCATCTTGGGTTACAGCCTTCACTTGAGGCCAGTATTCAAGGGTGGTGTTTGGGCTTATGTGACTACTTGCTGGGTACTTAACTCCCAAAATCATAGTAACGCGTCTCATCTGGGAGGTTGGCTATCCTAAACAGAAATGCCCCATAATTCCCAGAGCTTGTTTGCCTCTGTTCCTGGGAGTTTTTCTTCATTTCAGCCATTCTAGACATCCCTGTCTATAAGAGTCGGATCCAGTCCCTCCACCTGCTCTTTTCTCTCTACTCGGAATTCAAGAACTCACAGGTACGGCAAGCGTCCGGGCTTGACTAGGCTGTAGTGAGGAGAGCTGCAGTCTCTGCTGTTCTGAGCCTGCTGTGATTGTGTCCTATGGCAGTGGAGGATGTCTCTGCCAGGAGTTGCCTTTGCCCTTCCTCGTAATTAAAGAGCAGCTAAGGAGGCAGTGGGGGGGCTTTCAAAGGAAGGGGAAAGTAGAAGAGATTTGGGCCTGAGATGAAGCTAGGTAAGGATGTACAGAGGACACTTGTTTTTTTAAAAGAGAACTTCCTTCCTGCCTCATGAATGGAAGCAGGAAGGAAGTAAAAAGGGGTTCATTTTTGAAGAAAGTGGGACAAATCTTTAGCTGTTTTTCAAAGACAGCACCAAGGAATTGTTTTGAAAGGAGAACTGGGAGAAAATTGGATCTTAAAGGGTTTTAAAGAAGTTAGTTTTTGCTAAAACGTAGCAACTAGCATATCCTCAATACTCAACAATGTTCCCTCTCCTCTTTCCTTGCAGCATTTCAAAGCTCTTGCTGAAGGCAAGAAAGCATTCACCCCTCCATCCAACTGCACCTCCCAAGCTGGAGATGCAGAGACATTAATCTTCAGCTGAGTCACTCCCAAGCCACCCTGTTTCAAGGCTGAACTGGCTCTTCTGCCCCAGCTGAGACAGATCATTGTCAGCCACCTAGAGTCCTTGCCTTGCCACAGCTTGGCTCAGGGGTGGTACATGTCCTGCTTCCCGCTCTGCCAAAGAGCACTGCACATATTTGTTAAACAGCTCTGCCCATCTCAGATTGCCTTCCCGGGGGAGTTATGAATCTACACCACTTGTGGGGATTTGAGTTAGAAGAATTGGAATTTCTGAGATCCCATGGAGCTCAGTTTGGAAGGAAATCTTAAAAGATGTCCTTTTTGGGATAGGGATGGAATTATTTTCTTTCATTCATAGAGTTGGTGGACAAAGATTTTATAAATAAAATGCTCTTTTGTCAGATTATCCTGCTGTTCTATAATATGAAAGGGAAAAGCCTGAGTGAGCATCAGGCAGAGACAAGGAACTTGGCTTAGCGATGGGCAGTAAGCGAAGAATAGTTGAAGCAAACCAGCTTTGTGAGATAAAATCAAACCCCAGTCCTCCAAGATTGGCAGTACAGGGGAATCATTTTTCTCCTGGAATTTAATTTTTCTAAGGGTCTTTCTGGTTAATGCTGCCTTCCTTACAGGCTGCTTGCCTGTCTAGCTTCAGACCTGTCTGGCTGTGGTGTCAGGGAGCCCAGCTGTTGCAGCAATCCAGGCGAGAGATGGTTAGGGGGGTTGGAGTACAGATGGACAGATGCAAGAAATATTTTGGAGTTTTATCAGCCAAGTTCCAATCAGGAAATCTGAACTTGTGCTAGTTATTTCTAACAAAGGGTGTTTAATATAGGGAATTGTTAAAAAAAAAAAAAAACTGCTGGAAAGGTTGAAGCAGCAAAAGGGAGCATGGAGGGTACTGAGAAACAAAGGTGAAAAGGTCAAAAGGGTGGTAGCCTCTGCAGGTGCTGGCAGCAGAGGTGCTGCAGTGGCAGAGGAGGTGGCACACGCGAGCGCTGCTCAAGACTGCAGGCCTCGCTCCCACCACTACAGCGACTGAGCAGCGGCTGCTGTTTCCTTTCTCCCACCTTCTCATCTCCTGCCAGTGCTTTCCCCCGGCAGAAGGTAACAGTTGGCAGGGAAATCTGGAAAATTCAGCAGTACAAAGCAGAGCACAGAAGGGAAAGTATGGGGCTGAGAGACAGCAGATAAATAACCAGTGGGGGTAGGACTGACAGAACTGGTGGTAGATTGGATGTGGGGGATGGAAAGAAGGAAATCAGGGGTGACTCCCAATTTTTTTTTTCTTAAGCAAATGAATGGATTGTGGCAGCAGTCCCCAACCGTTCTGGCCCCAGGGACCAGTTTCATGGAAGACAGTTTTTCCACAGACTGGGGTGGGGGGATGGGAGGATGGGTTCAAGATGATTCGAGGGCATTATATTTATTGTGCAAACCTCTGTGCTAATGACAATCTATTTCACCCGCTCCCCAGCACTAGCATCACTGTCTCAGCTCCACCTCGGATCATCAGGCATTAGGTTGTCACAAGGAGCGCACAACCTTGATCCCTCGAGTGCACAGTTTACAGTAGGGGTCAGGCTCCTGTGAGAATCTGACACTGCCACTGATCTGGCAGGAGGCGGAGCTTGTGCAGCAATGTGAGCGATGGGGAGCAGCTGTGAATACAATGCCGCTCACCTCCTGCTGTGTGCCCGGTTCCTAACAGGCCACACACAGGTACCAGTCCGCAGCCCAGGGATTGGGGACCACAGGATCATGGAGCCAAGTACTGATATGGGGGAAAGTGGGGCAAAAATTGGTTGGAAGGGAAGAGTACATTAAAATGCTATGCCGTCAGCCTAATATTTGCACAGCGAACACGTAGACAGGAGAACTGTGTCTTACAAAGTCATAAACCGAGTATGGTCACATCATGCTTCAGTTTGAGGAGCAGGCACATCTGAGCCGAAGCCTCAGTTTGACACCGTGTCAACCCCACGTGCTCTGCTCTCAGTGGGTGCCGTTACTGCTCACATTTAACCCGCAGGGAATGAAGGGAGGCGAAATTTGATAGGAATTCAGATGCTCCGTTAGGTTTTCAGGAAACAATCAGATTACCTTCTTGGATAGAGCCGAGACTCAGCACTAATAAATACAGTCAGTTCTCATTGTTCACGCTAGTTATGTTCTATAAAGTCACTGTAAACATGGAATTAGCAAATGCTGAACCTTAGTACCATTTGCTCCTAGAGGAAATAAGGGCTAGGTTTCTGTGCGCCTCTGGTCGTAGCATTTCATCAACCGACCATGGATTCACTGAACTCCTAGCCAACAGCACTATGTATAACTCATGCCTCGATGAAGCTTATCTAACACATTTTCCCGAAAGGCCCATCACAGCCTTCACTAGACAGCACTTCAGCACTGTACTTGGAGGCCATTTCAAACAGCAAAATCAGCAAAAAAAAAATGCATAACATGTGGCACTATATAAACTGCCAAAAGGGACACTTGTTTACAGTCTGAGCTAAAACAAGAAGGCAGAGTGTCACCTTATTCAGCCTCAGCTGGGAATGTGGGTGTCAGGCAACTCATATTTCAGTGCTCTGAGCATGTCCAAAAATGACCATGGGAACATCGCAGGTAGTAATTTGGGATTACAAATAAATTGTAGCAAATTAGGCCGGGTGCAGTGGCTCACGCCTGTAATCCTAGCACTCTGGGAGGCCGAGGCAGCCGAATAGTTTGAGGTCAGGATTTCCAGACCAGCCCGAGCAAGAGCGAGACCCCGTCAATAGAAAAATTAGCGTGGTGGCGCATGCCTATAGTCCCAGCTACTCAGCAGGTTGAGGCAGGAGGATCCCTTGAGCCCCGGGGCTTGAGGTGGTTGTGAGCTAGGCTGATGCCACGGCACTACGGCACTCTGGGAGATAGAGTGAGACTTTGTATCAAAAAAATAAATAAAAATAAATTGTAGCAAGTAGGTGAATTCACAGAGTCTGCAAATAAGAATGAGTGGTACTTCCTGTCTAAGTTCCCGGTTGACCTGTGGGCCTTTCAGCTTCCCTTCCGCCCCCAGCACATCCACCTCCGCTCTCTGGGGATCATCTTCAGACACGGTCTTCATCAGGGCTCCTCTCTCCTCTGCAACAGGCTTCAGTTATCCTCTTTTGGCTACTTGCTCTGTGGTCCTGGGAAAAGCTAGCTAACTTCTATGCCTGAGTTAACCCAGCTGTGAAAGAGTCCATAAACACTAACCTCTTAGTCTTGTCCTGTGAATAAAAAATATGTGAAAAAATTAAGTGCCGCAGAATGTAAGATATAATAATTATGTTACTAAGCATAAATTTTCAACTTGGCCTTTTAGACTTTTCATTTGGTTACTCTCTCCCTACCCCAAGAACCTCATTTTCCTTCATTCCCCGAAGTGGACTGCAAAACCAATCTGCTTGCCATGCCCTGCACGTGCTTCGGGAGTGCTCGCTTCTCACTCAGCTTTGAAGTAGCCTGTTTTCCTTGCTGAAAGTGTCCCTCACCTTCTCTGCTGATCCTAGGTGCTCAGCACTTCCAAATAAACAAGAATTGAACACAAATATTTACATCTTTACTCCCTCCTTTAATCCTACTAAAATGATAGTACAGGAATTAAAAAGACATAAACCAGCAAGGACAGATAATAGGAAAGAAAATGACAGTATACTAGATAGTAATGTAATTTGGGAAGATGGACAAGTGGCAACTAATTTAGCAGAGGGCAGGAAAAAAACCTAAAATCTGACTGCCTATGGAGGAGAGGGCCCTCGAGCCAGTAAGAAGTAAGCCATTTGACACTCGCAGAACCCTGGAAAGCATCAGGAATGGAAAGTGTCCAGATATTTCTGACGGCAAGTATGCAGGGTGGGATTGAAAACAAGAAGGTTGGTTGAAGGTTTGTATAAGGAGTAAGATCCCCAGAACCTTCCCCGCCTGTGCCACCCACCTCCTTACCCCAACAGAAGATGGGCACCTTCAAACCAAGGAAACCTGGACACAAGGGTACCAAACAACTATGAGCACAGAAGTAAGGGGCCATATTTAAAATAAGAGGATTAAATAAAGGAATGAGCATGAGACCCTCAGCCTTCTTACAGGCTTATAGTTCCAAAGCAGAATATTGGAGGAGTCCACTCCCAGGAAATCGATCGGGAGAAGAGACCTACAGATACTGACAATCAGGATTCTTTAAGCAAATGTCCAGCTCCCTACCTACACATCAACTTCCATTCAGTCTTTTGGTGTCTTATTGGTGTGTGGGTGTGCATGCCAACAACCAGACAGAAGATAAGAAAGGAAATGGAAGACAATGTAATAAACCAGCTAGATCTAACAGTCATACAGAACGGTCCACCCAACAATGGCATACACATTCTTCTCATGGGACATCATCCAGGACAGACAATGTGTTAGGCTACAAATTAAATCTCAATAGATTTAAGAGATAGATATACAAAGTATCTTCTCTGACCACACTAGGATGAAGTTAGAAATTAATAACAGAAGGAAAACCGGAAAATTCACAAATTTGTGGAAATTAAGCAGTGCACTCTGAAACAACCAATGAGTCAAAGAAGAAACCAGGGTGAAGTATGTGTCAGAATTCCATTCCTAAAAAGGCTGAATGGTACTCCATCGTGTGCATAGACACATTTTGTTTATCCACTTAGCTGTCAACGGACATTTGGGTTGTTCTACCTTTTGGCATTGAGAACAATGCTGCTATGAATATTGGTGTACAAATAAATGAGTCCCTGCTCTCAATTCTTTGGGGTATAAACCTAGAAGTGGAATTGCTGGATCAAATGGTGATTCTTTTCATTTATTTATTTATTTATTGAGACTAAGTCTCACTCTGTTGCCAGGGCTAGAATGTAATGGCGTCATCATAGCTCACTGCAACCTCAAACTTCTGGGCTCAAGTGATCCTCCTGCCTCAGCCTCCTGAGTAACTGGGACTACAGTCACGTGCCACCATGCCCAGCTAATTTTTCTATTTTTTGTAGAGATGGGGTCTTGCCATGTTGCTCAGGCTGCATATGGTAATTCTATGTTAACATTTTGGGGAACCACCATACTGTCTTCAACAGCGGCTGCACCATTTTGCATTCCCACCAACAGTGCTCAAAGTTGGACAATTTTTTTCTTTTTTTAAAACTTATTTTTTATTATTATGGGTACATAATTGTTGTATATATTTATAGGGTACCTGTGATGTTTTGATACAGGCATACAATATGTATTACTCAAGTCAGGGTAATTGGGGTATCCACCTCAACCCTTTATCATTTCTTTGTGTTAGGAACATTCCAATTCCACTTTTAGTTACTTTAAAGTATTCCTTAACTTATTGTTGATTATAGTCACTTTGCTACAATATCAAATATTGTTCATTCTAACCATCTAACTCTATTTTTGCACCCATTCACTATCCCCCCTCCCTGCTACCCTTCTCAGCCCCTGGTAATCATCATTCTACTTTCTGTCTTCATGAGATCAATTGTTTTAATATTTAGCTACCACGTATGCGTGAGAACATACGAGATTTGTCTTTCTGTGTTTGGCTTATTTCACTGAACCTAATGTTTTCCAGTTCCATCATGTTGTCGCAAATGGTAGGATTTCATCCTTTTTATGGCTATATAATATTCCACTTTGTATATGTACCACAATTTTTTTTTTTTTTGAGACAGAGTCTCACTCTGTTGCCCTGGTTAGAGTGCTGTGGCATCATCCTAGCTCACAGCAACCTCAAACTCCTGGGCTCAAGCGATCCTCCTGCCTCAGCCTCCCGAGTAACTGGAACTACAGGCATGCGCCACCATGCCTGGCTAATTTTTTCTATATATTTTTAGTTGTCCGATTAATTTCTTTCTATTTTTAGTAGAGACGGGGTCTTGCTCTTGTTCAGGCTGGTCTCGAACTCCTGAGCTCAAACAATCCGCCCGCTTCGGCCTCCCAGAGAGCTAGGATTACAGGCGTGAGCCACCGCGCCCGGCCGTACCACAATTTCTTTATCCATTCATTTGTTGATGGACACTTAGGTTGATTCCAAAACTTGGCTATTGTGAATACTGTTGCAATAAATTTGGGAGTGCAGATATCCTTTCAATATACTAATTTCCTTTCTTTTGGATATATACATAACAGTGGGATTGCTGGGTCATACAGTAGTTCTACTTTTAATTTTTTGAGGAACCTCCATACTATTCTCCATAGTAGAGATCTTTCACTTCTTTGGTTAAATTTATTCCTAGATATTTTTGCTCTTGGCATATAGAAATGCTACTGATTTTTTTTTTCTTTTTTTGAGACAGAGTCTCACTCTGTTGCCCTGGCTAGAGTGCCGTGGCGTCAGCCTAGCTCACAGCAACCTCAAACTCCTGGGCTCAAGGGATCCTCCTGCCTCAGCCTCCCGAGTAGCTGGGACTACAGGAATGCGCCACCATGCCTGGCTAATTTTTTCTATTTTTAGTTGTTTGGCCAATTGCTTTCTATTTTTAGTAGAGATGGGGTCTCGGTCTTGCTCAGGCTGGTCTCAAACTCCTGACCTTGAGCAATCCTCCCGCCTCGGCCTCCCATAGTGCTAGGATTACAGGCGTGAGCCACTGCGCCCAGCCAGAAATGCTACTGATTTTTGTATGTTGATTTTGTTTCCTGCAACTTTACTGAATTTGTTTATCAGTTCTAATAGTTTTTTTTTTTGTGCAGTCTTTCAGTATCACTAGCTATAAGATCATATCATCTGCAAACAAGGATAATTTGACTTCTTCCTTTCCAATTTGGATGCCCTTTTTCTCTTGTTTGATTGCTCTAGCTAGAACTTCCAGTGCTATGTTGAGTAACAGTGGTGAAAGTGGGCATCCATGTCTTGTTCCACATCTTAGAGGAAAAGCTTTCAGATTTCCCCATTCAGTGTGATACTAGCTGTGGGTCTGTCATATATGGCTTTTATCGTGTTGAAGTATGTTCTTTCTATACCCAGTTTTTTGAGAGTTTTTATCCTGAAGGGATATTGAATTTTATCAAATGCTTTTTCAGCATCAGTCGAAATGATCGTATGGTTTTTGTCCTTTTTTCTGTTGATATAAAGTTGGACAATTTTTACAAGTCCTTATTAAACAGCCTATTGTATCTGGAGGACTTCAGTAAAGCATAGTCAAGGTGGAAAAATGCAGCCTGAGCTGTGCTTACCCAAATGTTGAACTGCTGTACACTCAAGTTCAAGGTAATAAGCCACCTGCCTAATATTGGAGGATAAAGGTGAAAGATTAAGTGACTGAAGTATGTTAAACATTAGTGTTCTTTCCTAGGAAAGAGGGAACTGTCATGTAGTGCATGATCTTTAGAAAGATCAAAGTATTCCAGAAATATGTGAGAAGAGATTAGATCAGGGATCCCTGCCCCAGTATTTCATTAGGAAAATTGTCAAAATAATTTTAGAATTGTACAGTGAACACTATATACCCACCACCTAAATTCTATAATTCACATTTTGCTAAATTTGCTTTATCACATAGCTGTACATCTCTCTCTCCATGTATCAATACACCTTATTTTTTGATCACTTCAAAGATGCAGACATCAATGCATTTCACCCCTAAACATATCAGCATGCATATAATTACATGGAATTTAACATTTATTTATGGTTTGAATATTTGTCCCTCCAAAACTCATGTTGAAATTTAATCCCCAATGTGATGGTTTTGAGAGGTGGGGACTTTAAAAGGTGATTGGATTGTGAGGGCTCTGACCTGATGAATGGATTAATCCATTCATGGATTAATGGGGCAAGAATGCTCTCACCAGATGTGCCCCCTTGACCTTGAACTTCCCAGCCTCCAGAACTGTAAGAAATAATTTCCTTTTTTACAAATGACCCTGTTTTGGGTATTCTGTTATAAGCAAGAGAAAACAGACTAAGACATGGTTGTCAGGTGAAATTCATAAACAGTGAAAAGTGCAAATCAAATGAATATTTGATAACTTTTCAGCAACAGCTTTGAGATATAATTCACATACCATAAAGTTCATCCTTGTATAATTATTTTTTACTATATTCACAAAGTTGTGCATTGATTACTATTAGTTCCAGAAAATTCTCATCGCCCCAAAAAGAAACCCCATATTCATTAGTTGTTATTCCCCATTTTTCCCTGCCCCCAGCTCTGAGCAATCACTAATTTACTCTGTAGATTTGCCTACTCTGGACATTTCATATAAATGGAGTCATACAACATGTGGTCTTTTGGGTTTGGCTTCTTTCACTTAGCAAAATGTCTTCGAGGTTCTTCCATGGGTTTGGGTCTGTGTAATGAGCAGCGGTTTCTTAATCTGCATCTTCTGCGAAAAGAGTCGTTAGCTTTCATCAAATTCTCCAAGGGGTATGCCACTCAGCAAAGTAACAAGGAATCCCCAATTTAAGGCATAGGTGTGGAGAATCAGTAGTTTGTAAGTCTGCCCCCTCGTCAACATTTGGCAAATTGGGAAACTTGCCAGGAAGAGCAAACCTTTCTGCTAAAGTAAGACCTTGAGAACAGCTGAGAGGAGCTGAGAGCTTGCAGCCTTGCCACAGGACCATCAAGGAAGGGTCCCAGGACCCCCCATAGGGAGCATGGATGACAAAGTCAACAGAGAGAGGCACTCTGGCTTCTAAAAGTTCCAGAGTGGCAAGGAGTTCACATGCAACATCAGTAGAAACCAGAACTAAGTTCCTCTTAGGTTGCTGATGTAGCCTTAGCCACTCCCGTGGAGGAAAATACTGAGGAAGAGAGAGGTGAGGGAAGGACGTGAATCAGAAACCCCCAAAGCCAGGCAAGCCAATCTGTCACTAAAAAATATAATATAGGCTGGGTGTGGTGGCTCACGCCTCTAATCCTAGCATCCTGGGAGGCTGAGGTGGGGGATTGCTTGAGGCAGGGGATTGTTTGAGTTCAAGCCCAGCCTGAGGAACATAGCAAGACCCCGCATCTACAAAAAATGTAAAAATTAGCTGGGCATGGTGGCATACGCCTGCAGTCCCAGCTACTTGGGAGGCTGAGGCAGGAGGATCGCGTATGCCCAGGAGTTTGAGGTTGCAGTGAGCTATGATGACACCACCGCACTCTAGCCCTGGCGACAGAGTGAGGCTCTGTCTCAAA